GAAATACAGAGAATTCTTAGGGTTGATATTGTCACTACAGTCTACAGGACTTGTAGGAAATACAAAATGGAGGGCATCTTTCAGCCCTGTCTTTATGCTGCATGAATTATCTGCCTCTAAGCCTGGGGCTGGACAACACATAGTTTTCCTGTCCTAAACCCTCACTCTTCTCTTTGCGGGAGAGAAGACAGCTCTTGGAGTGAGTCAAGATAGCTCTCTGTACACAAGCTAGTAAAAGTGGAAATAAAGGACTCTTGACCGCCCTACCTCTGTGGCTGTTACTGAAGATATCGTCTACATGCTTTAGTTGGCAAAACTGAAAACGTAAAGATGGGTTTGGTTTTGTGCCAGCTAGTTTACTCTCTAAACTGGTATCAGAAGGTGTTTATTACCATAGAGGAATCACTATCAACTATCCCTTCGTAATGCCTACCAGACTCTGGAGCCCAGACAGGGAAGCAGCTCGAGGGTGTGAGATGGAGATGCTGGGCAAAGCCCCTGTAAGGGCCCCCCTCCACACATCATCCCATCCAGATGGTGGTGAGCTGAGACAGGCAAGTCATTTCCACTCTGTTCTCTTTTTTTCCTATCCATAAATTGAGTGGTTTGGAGTAATATCGCAGGTTTCTTCCAACTCTAATGCTCTTTGATTATGAGATTTCTTTACACATTTCTTTACCCCTTGGGGGCACCTGAAGGTCACTCCCAAGCTCTGTTTCCCTCAGCCTTTCCTTTCTTGGCCTCCCCAATGTGTCCAAGCATCCTGTATAATGCTGTGGTTCACTTTTCCTTTGTGCCAGAACAAAGCACACTGAGCCATTTCATATTCAATTTTGCTAGACTGCAAATTGTTTTTAGGCAGCACAATGACTACTTTGAATATATAAGACTTCCTTCCCTTAGCTCGTTTGCTTGTTCTTGCTGAAATCGTCCTGAATACATCTGGAATCTATGCACTGTTATTTTCATGTGGCTCTAAGAACTATTGTCATTTTCTCTTTAATCTTGGCCCAGATGTCCAAAACCATCATTAGGTCCCTGCTGAGATGATGGTTGTACCATCTTCTGACCAGACTCTCTTGGGAGACATGTACTGAGTCACCTCCCGAGGTCTGTGCTCTCCAGCAGTTCCTACAGCAATGAGCCACATCTTTGAGCAAGTGCAGATGGTCGACGGCTTACGATGGTTCCACTTAGGATTTTTCGACATTACAGTGGTGCGAAAGTGATCCTCATTCAGTAGAAACCACACTTCAAGTGACCGTGCGACTTGTGTTTTTCACTTTCAGTACAGTATTCAGTAAATTCCATGAGATATTTAACACTTTATTATAAAATAGGCTTTGTGTTAGATGATTTTGCCCAGATGTACGCTAATGTAAGTGTTCTGAGTATGTTTAAGATAGGCTGGGCTAAGCTATGATGTTCAGTCAGTTAGGCATATTAAATACATTTTCAACTTATGATTGGTTTATTGGGATATAACGCCATCGCAAGTCAGGAAGCATCTGTACATTTTTTGAATTATAAAAGTTCTGAGGTAGAGGTCTAATTCAGTCCGCTCTTTCCCCTGGATTTATTCTTCTCACTATATAGAACCAGACACAGAGGCTCAATGAGGCTAAATAGCATATGTAAGGAATGATGAATGACACATAGAATGTTCTAGATGGCTGCCAGCGCCCTAACCACTATACCATACTGCCTTTAAATCACTATTTTACATTATTTCAAAGGCTACAAAAGGCTATGATTATGATGTTATATAATGGCAAAATTTTAGTCTTGTCTTTGTTAATTGCACTTTTTGGTTAACTCAGAGGAAACTTTAGTTAGAAATGTTAGACATATTACTCGACGCCTTTGTACACCAGCTTCTTTCATCTTCAAGTGGGAAAATGCAGTTGGCTTTCTCTACTGCACAGAATGTTGTGAAAATAAATGTGAAATAAAGAGCTGGATACTTCCAGCCTTAGAATCATTTTGAGGATCAGGTATTTTGTGTAAAATTGTATTAATTCTTCTGATTTTTCTGCTCGTCTGTTAGATAAGGCTTTTAATAAATTTGATTAATATATTTTTATGGTCATAGCAATATGACAGGTACATTCTAAATTTTGACAAAGTATTCCTAATGTCACTAATTATTTGAAGAACCAAGAGCCTTAAAAAATTCTTTCATATACTAGAAGTAGGTATTATAGGGTGGGACTACTCATGTGACTATTAAAAAAGTGAGTTGAGACAGTCAGGATTAGAATTTGTAAGGTTTTATATCCCAGAATTAAGACATGGCCAATATCCTAATGTGGAGTCCATAGAAAGTGATTATAACGATGTCTTTAACATTAAAGGGAAAGGTAGAGAACTTGGGAGGAGGTAGCATCTGAGCTGAGTTCTTATATAAATCGTGCATTTCTAGCCCTTCATAAACCCATAGGTTGCTTTGTGCATAGTCAGTATCATTAAACATTTCTTTAATCAATTCATACAGTGAATGCCATAAATTATCATTTTTAACTATGAAGTTTCCCATTTTAACCAAAGTAGAGTTGGAGAGACTATAGCACGAAGAGCATTAATGCAAATAAGTCTGTAATTATAATACATTTAATACACTAGGCTACGCATTATGTGCCAGACAAAACATGTTATATCCACAATTCAGTAGACTCTCAGTTCTCACATTTGGTCTGCAGACCAGCTCTACCGGTATCATCTACTTCTTAAAATGCCCCACTCCAGACCTACTGGATCAGAATCTGCATTTTAACACAATCCCTGGCCCTTTGGTTGCTCATTAAGTCTGGGAAGCACTGACGATGCAGCTTTCCATTTTATTCTACTCCACTGGCCCAAGAGAGGATATACTTTCCTTTCTAATACACATGAAAAAATGATTTAGGCAACTGGTGCTGCTGTAATTCAATCCTTTGCTGAATACAATTATCCTTTACTGTTCCCCACCCCCCAAAAAGTTATTTTGCATGTATTGTCAGTTTGACAGAATTTACAGTCTGTTCCACCTGATTTCATAAAATTGATTGTTCCTGCTTTCATTTTGTGCCCAAAGATAATTTGCAATCTTACAATTCCTACAGTTCCTGTTTTATTTGGAATAAATACCCTTTTGCACGTTAATATTTTGAAGGAAAAAGTAAGACCATTAACAAAGAGCAATAATTGCTTTCTTTTGTTTGCATTTAAAAACCTCAAAAGGGGATGTTGACTTTTATTTCCCTCCTTTTTATTCTAAGTAGGAAGTAATGTAAAGGAGTTTTTTGTTTTCATTTTTTGAGAAGAAAAAATGTGTGAATTAAACTCTTGTTAATACAGCCATTTTCATCCTGAAAATCACTTTCATGATTCTCGATCTATCTAATGAACCTCAGTTATCTTAAGAATAATTTAACATTGCCAAACTCTGCTATTTAGAGTCATTGGGAGTTACATTCTTTTTTTTTTTTTTTTTTTTTTTCTTCTCTCAAATTCTCTAATAAGCCAAGGAAAGCAAATGCAGGTAATTGGCACTCTTGGCTTTGCACGTGGCAGGTGTGCTGCTCACATGCGGATCAAGATGTGCTGTCTTACAATGTAACAATCCGCTGCAGCTGCGCCAGGTCCATCCTGGGAAAAGAGGATGAGCTCAGGTTTGCTCCGTCTTTAAGCACGGGGCCTCCATGAGCTATTGCACCACTGTGGTTTGATTTTGCCTTGTGTGGTTCAGTCATTTGGATTTCATCTAGAAAAGAAGAAAGGATGCGAAGACTTCAATATATGTGCTAGACAGAAAGGGACTCATTGAAAATCCATGTGGCAGAGATGTCACCCTGCCTCTCAAGACATCTGTGTTCCCTTAACTAGAGAGGGTTTGTTTGGTCCGTTGGGGCTTTGAGTGCCCAGTTTGAGACAGGAAGCTGAAGACAGAAAGCGTTTTTGCCTTTGAATCCCACACACACAGTGCAGGGAGCCAGGCAGGGAGCGCTCAGTTCTCAGGAGCACAGTTAGCAGGAATGAAGGCCACACTTCCTCAGGTGCCAGGGGTTTGCTAATCTCGTGAGTCTGGATGACCAGTATCAGAAGGTTTGGGAAGGGACAGAGGCTTCCTGGAGGCTCTAAGGAGGGAAGAGTCACGTGTGAGAGGAGAGGGTCGGCTTACTAAGCTAGGGTGTCGATAGCATGAACCAGATATGGGAATGCAATGATGCCTGAAGAGCCCTACTCAGAGCCCCTCCTGTCCACCCCCTGGAAGATCCATCATTCTCAAAAACGGCTGAAGAAGGGTGGAGAATGAACCCCATCAGAATTCGAGGAGCTGTTCCAGAATACACTTTCCCCGTTCCCCATCTCCTCCTCCCACGGTGTACCGTGGACAGCATAGTTTACTAGTTGAGGAGTTTACTAGTTGAGTACCTTACTAGTTGAGAACTCAGGTTCTGGGCTAGCCACATGGAATTGGAATTCTAACTCTTCCCCTACTAGCTTGGTGGCCTCTGCCCAGTTACTAAACCTCTCTTATCCCCATCTCATCTATAACACGATGGTGACAGTGATAGTAATTATTGCATGGGGATATTATCAGAATTGGGGAAAATACTCTGTGCGAAATGCTGGGCACCATACCTGTTATGTACGGGTGTACTCAGCGACTATAAAATTTTCTCTTGTGATTGGAGCCTAATTTTATTGAGAAGAGAATTTGAGCTCTCATTCAGCTCTGAAAAGAGCAAGGCAAATAAAGTAACTTAGATTATAATCCTAGACATTAGCCTACTTTAAGGACACTGGAACCACACTACCTACCCAAGCTGTTTTCATTTCATTTGAAAGATTTGCAGTTTGAGTTACGATGAATATAAAACATTGTCATCCTACTTATCAATTTATTCCAAACACAAATGTTTTTGAAGATTTATGATGATGACAAATTATGTGGGAATCAGGAAGCTACACGTTTACCCAGTTCTCTTTTCTCCTCCCCTCTTTCTCCATCCGGGAAGAATTCCTTGACCAGAAGTGCGCCCCTTCCCAACGACTCCCAGGCACGCAGTGGAGCTCGCTTTCACACTTCCTATGACAAGAGATACGTCATCAAGACCATCACCAGTGAAGATGTGGCTGAAATGCACAACATCCTGAAGAAATACCACCAGGTAAGTTTTCTTTGTCTTTATTTGAAACTCTGAGAAGGTTAACATTAATGGCTAATTATCATCAAGACCAGAGGTATTAATATGTAGTTAGGAAACCATGAGAACACATTTGACATAAAAATCTCCTCTAGCCTGGTTGTCCAGAACTACTGTGCCCAGATTACTGACAGTTCACATGTAGGAACGCTTATACTGTAAAGATCATGAGTTGTTTATGTAACAGTTCTAATATAAATACCTTGCTGTATAATAGTTTCAATGATCACCACTCTGATTTTAAAATCACTTTGCTTAAGATTTGGCAACTTTTCAGAAGATTTTGCCTGTGCCAGAAGTGAGGTACTGACCTCTGCGTATTTAACCATTTATACCTCCAAATCCCCACCCTGCTCTTAGTGGTCTCTTTCTGTCCCACTCCAGAAAAACTCACTCCCACTCACATTCTACTGCGAGAAAATTCTCTGGTTTCAGGTGAGTGTTCGTCTATTTGCTGCCGCCTTTTCATCCCTAAGCATGGTCCCTGAGTAGTTGCCTGGGGATGAAATGAACCATCTTTGGAAACAGCTGTCCTTCTCTCAAGGAAAAAAGCCCAGCACAAGTTTGCCTGGTAGAGCACATGTTCATGGTCCTATCTCAAGTTGTAAGAGGCTTCACTCACTGTGGAGCAGTAAGAGCACCAGGTTCTATATCAGACAGTCCTGGGTTCAAATCCCAGCCCTGTCACTTACCAACCATGTGACTTCTGGACTTGGAAGCCTCAATGGGGGTAATAACAATACCAAGCTATGGAGTCCTAGAGATTAAATGGGAAAATGTATATCTGATACTTAGCACAGTGTCTGCACACACTAGGCACTCAATATGTGGTGGAGGTGGTGGTGCTGATGGCATAATTATCATCAAGATATAATATCTGTCGTATGACGGTAACCGACAACAACTAAGTCATCCTGAGAAATTGCAGTCTTATGGCATGAGTATGACTGTTGCAACATCACAGAAATCATCTTCAGAACTGGTGTTTGAAACACACACACACACACACACACACACACACACACACACACTGTTGCTTTTACTGGCTGTCTTAGTCTGCTTGGACTGTCAGAACAAAACACCATAGACTGGATGGCTTAAACAACAGAAATTGTTTCTCACTGTAACAGAGGCTGAAAGTCCAAGATCAGGATGCCAGCATGCTTGGGAGCTGGTGAGGGCTCTCTTCCTGGTCTGCAGATGGCTAGCCACCTTCTTGCTGTGTCCTTACATGGCAGGGGGAAGGTGGGCAAAGCTCTCTCCTGTCTTATCTGGAAAGGGCACAAGTCCCATCATGAGGCCTCCACTCTAATGAACTAATTATCTCCCAAAGGCCACATCTTCAATTGGGGCTTTTGGAAGATAGGGTTTTGACTTATGAATTTTGGGGTACACAAACATTCAGGCCATAGCAGAGCCATTCTTTATTTTTTACCTAAATAGCTCCAGATCCCTCTCAAAGGTAAGGATTGGCTATCACTGAGGATATTGAAAATAAAGTGCTGTGGGCCCTGGCTACATTAATAAAAGGATTCTCAAAAAGTTTAATTAATCACATTTATTAAAGTGTTTATAAACTTGTTTATATAGAGTCTGTTTTGAAGGCAGCACTCTTTGGATTTGTGCGTTCTGAGATATCTGTTTAAAAGCATTACTTTGTGGTCATGCTGTAATATCATGGAGTATCTCTTGGCAGTTGCTTAATCTTCCAGTCTTTGCAAATGTGATCAATTGCATTTTGCTCGCAGTGAAGTCTATAAAAATCTTTGAGCTACATTTTGTTTCTAGAAACTTGGTACTGCCTCTAATTTGTTTTCTAAAACCATTAGTCAGCCTCTAAATTCATTTAACATCTAATAAATATTTTATAACATCTATTCCTTTTGAAATTTGTTCTACAGTGCTTATGGTATTGCCTATTATAAAGGAAATTTTAAAGTGCCAGGATAGTGCCTGTGAGGGTGAAGACACTAAGGCTCTAGCTTCTGAATAAATTGAATTACAGGATGCAGCTTTTAACTCTTCACCTTTTAAACTGTCTACTTTTTCATTTTTCCCCCTCTGGAATTTGATGTTGTACTTATGCATTCTTTTTGTTCTTCCTTTCAGTTGTCTCAGAACATTTGAAACAAAGTGATATCTCATGACTGATGAGAACATATTATTTTAATAAATGGCTATGGCACCATTCTAATAAAAATGTGATACACAATTCAAGTATCAACTTCTTGGTGACAACTTTGAGTTCAGAATCCTTTTACTTTATAGAAATCACAATTTGAAACATTTTCTCTGGGGTTGTTACTGTAACCTAACATGTGAATTTGACATATCCTCAGTGTTACATAAAATACATTTGGGATCAAAATAAGTCTATTGACACACTCCAGGAGCTTTAACAGTGCTAAAGATTTCCTTTCATCCCACTCTTACAAAATTATTTCCTTGGTGTGTTCTTTATTCACAAAAGCCTCATTTATCCAACATCTATATTTTTCTTTCTTCTTAGAAACAGAATATAATTTAAAGGGTCTTAATGACTGAGAATCACCATTATTAATACAATGTATTCGAAGAACACTAAGCTGAAGTCAGGAGACATAGATCCTAGCCTGTTATGCATCCGTTACTTAGGCAATCTCTGAACTCAGTTTCCCCAACTATGTTTCACTTATTTATTCATTTATTCATGTATTTACTCTTGACCTTACTCCAGAAGAGATTTAAGGTGGCTTTCAAGGAAGTTCAAAATACAGTGTAGAATAAAGTAAGATAGAAAAGGCAGGGAAAAGATTAAGGCATAAAAGGAACCTGGAATGAGCCTAAAAATTCAAGCCATGATGACCAGTATGCTTGTGTTGGGAAAATAGAATAATTTAGTCAGGCTCCCCTCGCCTTGGAGCCAGTTCAGGGTGGTTCCGTAAACATTGTGTGTGGGTGGAGTAAGTGCACCTGCAAGGTGGCGCCACTTTGACTGGTTTTTACTGCCTCGGGCACCCACCCTGTACAGCCATGTTTTTCCAGACCTGCAGCCTCCAAGGACCGTGTGGCCGGTTACCTAGCTTATAGACCTGTGAGAAGAGGTCTGGTGAGCCATCCTGGCATGTGTGGGGTCTGGTGACCCAGCCTGGCATTTGAAGGGTTTGTGACCCAGTCTGTGAATGGACTTGAGCCTGGGAGCTCCAGACCCAGCCTTAGCTCAACAATCGGCCCAGTCGGTGCAGGATTACCAGCAGGTAAAAGAGCCCAACAACTGGCATGGTCCTAGCTTTACAACTGGCATCACAAACAGGACTAAGAGCTAGACAATTGGTACTGTGAGAATTCCAGGCCTTAGTAGTAGCCTTGTCATAGCCAGACAGCTTGCTACTTTGACCCTAGCTTCCTAGCAGCCAAAATGAAAAGGACAACCTAGGTCAGGCAGTTGCACAGCTGCTGTGCCTGAAGATACAAATGAATCTGTCGCTAAGGAGAAATGTAACCGTTCTTGGTACTAAGATCTGACAGAGTTGTCTCTATAGTTTCCCACAGAGAGGACACAGGACACCTGACCCAATCAACAGCATCCTTGCAACAAGCCACGGAACACCCAAGAGTGTCATAGAACTTTTTAAAAAAATCATCAGTATAGGCTGCTGAAACCACACCGATGTACAATTTACATTTAGTAAATGCAGTCCTACAGAGAGAGGACACAGGACACGCTGGCTCCTTGCCCTCTGACAGTCTGGTTTTGATTTGAATGTCCTTGAGGCTGCTCTTGTCATACACCACTTTCAGACAAGGTTTTGGTGACTATTACATGGTGGTGAGCACTGTCCTTGTGTGATTCCATGTGACCAGACACAGGCCTCCCATCTGCACTCTCGGGGAGGTCCTCTCAAGCTTTGACACCCTCTCATTCTGTGCTGAGATGCCCAGAGGCATTTGAGCTGTATGTCTAGCCTTTATTCCAACTTAAGTAGGCCTGGCCTACTTTCAGGTTTATGTCTAGCTTTACAAATTTTCTCTCTCCTGCTTCAGTGGTGACTGCCAATTCTTCAGTTTCTTCTCACTTTTTGTTGCTTTTTCCTTCAATTTGCCACGCTTCTGAACTGCCCAAGCCTGGATAAGTAATTAAGCTTGTTCAATTGCACTTCAATAGATGAGACAGACTCTCAGAGAGGTCTGTTCTGTGGAAGGAGCTGGATGGACTTTCTGGCAGCTTTGGTTACTTGATAGCCCTTGTCTTCTCTTTTCTTTTCCTTTGTTGTTTCTTGTTTTAATGAAATACATCCACAGTTGCACCTATATTCTAGAGGGTTAAAATTACCACAAGACCAGCCTCTGGAGAAGTGGATCATTGCTAGCGATTTGAATAAGTTCTTCCTGGGATTAATTCTCTGACAAACCGACCTTACCAGCAATGTGGTGTGGCAAGGGGTTTGGAGCAGGCACTCAGAGCCAGCCAGCTGCCTTCAAATCCCAGCTCTGCCCCCAACTTTGGGCAAGGTACCTAACCTCTTGACACTTACTTCTTGGTCTATAAAATTTGGGTAATAGTACCTCCTTCCTTCAGTTATTATGCTAATTAGAGGTGAATTAATATTTATAACATGCTCAGAACATTGTCTGGTATATATAAGATGTGCCATATGAGTGATTGAACAAGATAATTAAATACCAGTGCATTCGGTTTCCTACATCCCAGTGTTGAAATCATTCTGATGTGGTGTTCAGTCTTTTAACTCTCCAATCCCCTAGGGGGCCTGCCTGGTTTCTGGTAGAGTGTGGCACTGATGCAGAATTACGAAGATTTGAACCATAAGGAGTTAGGTTTTTTTCTCTAAGTTCCAGTATCTTGCCCTATCCTTCCTTTGCTGCCCAAATCCTGCCCTAATTTCCACTTTGTGCTAAGAAAGGACAGCATCATCTCTCAGACCAATGGAAAATTCTTATTAATCATAGTGAACTTTTATAAGTCT